CTCACCTGTCACCTGTCCAGGGCCTCTGGGAGGAAGGCACTTTGGGTGCAGAGGCCTGCAGGACCAGCGGGAGCTTTGGGCACCAGATCCCTGCACATAAAGCCCCGCCCCCGCAAAGCTCCGTCCCACGTCAAGCCCCACCCCACGCAAAGCTCCACGCTCACGTCAAGTCCCGCCCCACACAAAGCTCCATGCTCATGTAAAGCCCTGCCCCGCGTCAAGCCACGCCCCATGCAAAGCCCCGCCCCCGCAAAGCCCCACACCACATAGTCTCTCCCACATAAAGCCACACCCACCCCGCGTAAAGCAGCGTGCCCACGTACAGCCACACCCACCCCGTGTAAAGCTGCGTGCCCACGTACAGCCACACCCACCCCGTGTAAAGCTGCGTGCCCACGTACAGCCACACCCCCCCCACACCCCCGTAAAGCTGGGCGCCCATTTTGCAGATGAGAACCCCTGTGACGGAGGCAAAGACTCTGCAGGTAAGGCTGGGGGACTCGGTGCTGAGTCGGAGGCCCAGCTGTTTTCTCTGAAGCTGCAAGAAGATAGAATGAAAAACAAGAAACGCCCCCAAACCTGAAGGCTTGCATCCGTCTCTTGTATTTTACTTTTCCTGAGCCTCTCAAAGCCCCGTTCGCAGGAAAGGCAGTGATGCCCGTGGACTCCTGGCTTTCAGGTGAATCTGGATGTGCGTCCACCGAGACATCCCGGTGGACAGTTCACACACAGGTTATCCAGGGCACAAGTGGGAAGGCTGAGGACAGCCGGGCTTTTCCAAGTTCCCATTTCACAGGTAGAAAATGAGGCTGGAGGGAAAAGGTCGTGACCTGAGGGGGGTCACATGGCCTTCACCTGTCCGGGAACAGAGGCCAGAAGCCAGGCACCAGCCCCAGGGTCAGGGCCCTGGCTCAGCCATCACACTTAACGCTCACGTGCCTACCACTCAATCATGGCCGCCAGGAGAAAATGTGCGGAGAGCTCCCACGGGCTCCTTGGTGAGGCCTTTTGAGCAAGTAAATTTCTGCAGCATTAAGACAAATTCGCTCAAGGATTATGAAAGGTTCAGAGTGGGCCTGGGTCGCTATGACATGAGGCCATAATGTATCAGGGGAAGCTTTTATTTCAGGCACCTGGGTGCAGCGGGGACTGGAGGGGGAGGCCGACTTTTATAAACCTCTGCTGGTTGCAAGCCGCTCTGCTGACCTGACTGTCCAGTCGGTCCCTGGCTCCTCCCATGCCAGGTGTCTTCTGGTTGTCCCAGCGATGCGCTGCTCAAGGCTGCATGCTTTCTGCTAGATACCTGCTAAGCACAATACGTTTTCTCTGCCCCGTGTTATTCTCTCTCCGTGTCCTCAGAGGCGTGGTCAGCTGCTGCTCCTGGCAGGCCCGAGCCTCAGGTTCTGGGAGAGTCAAACCAGGCATCTTTAAAAAAAAACACAACATTTTTATTGATTTTAGAGGAAGGGAGAGAGAGAGAGAGCGAGCAATGAGAGTGAATAATTGATGGGCTGCCTCCTGCATGCCCCCACTGGGAATCGAGCCTGACAGGGACTCAAACCTCGACCTCCTGATTCATAGGTTGTTGCTCAACCCCTGAGCCAGGCTGGCTGGGCGAGCCTGGGCTTCTTGATTGCTCCCACGTATGTCTGTGCCCCACTTTGGGGTTCAGAAAACACTTCCCCTCAAGTCATCTCATTGTGAAACGGTGATGAGCAGAGTGTCCGCTCTTGTTGCTGTGAAGACCAGAAATAATGCTGTTTGCTGCTTAATCAAAAGCATTGGACAGTGAATAGGAAATTTGTGTTTGTATGGTTATCATAAAATGTAAGCACATTTTTACAAAGCATTACAGAATTCCATGTTTGTATTTACAACATGTGAGTGCAGTGTATTTCCTATGCTTTCTAATGGTGAGGGGCAGGGAACTCTTTAAATATCTAAGAAGGGAGCATCAGCTAAATAAATTATGCTCATCCTTGCAGTAGACGCTCTGTCGCCATGGAAACCGGTATTATCCACTGAAAACGGGTTCCCAGCACCTTGCTGTCTGCAGGGGAAACAGCTTGCCCATCAGCGTGTCTGGCCCAGCCCCACTCCCATCAATAACTCTATGGAAATAAATGGGAAATGGTCAGGTCGATGCAAGGTGGTTAACAGTGTCCCCGTAGATGGGAATGTGAGCATTTCAAACATTTTTTGATTGCCTTTCCGGGCTGTTCTGAACCAGGCATGCATTCTTTTGTGGCAGGTTTAAAAAATAACGAAGTCACTTTAACCGCATCGTTAAGGAACTTGGCACAATGATGTTCCATGAATGCTGATCACTTCCCTGTGAGAGTGTATGTTGTCCGCTGAGCCTCACAGCAGCCTTGGGGACACGCATGACGGTGTGACAGGAACCTGAGGGTTAGCTTGCAGGCAGCTGGACAAGGCCCCTGCCAGTGGGTTCAGAGTGGGCGGGGGTCTGAGGCAGGTGATGTGACCCAGTGGCCACACCTCCAGGCCCCCACGGGCGGGCTCTTTCCACAGCCCGTTGACCCCACCCCACCCTTTCTGTGGCCCCTGTAGGTTGCAAGAGCGTCCAGTACGACCTGGTCTTCCTGCTGGACACCTCCTCCAGCGTGGGCCAGGGCGACTTCCAGAAGGTGCAGCAGTGGGTGGCCAACCTGGTGGACACCTTCGAGGTGGGCCCCGAGCACACCCGCGTGGGGGTCGTGCACTACAGCGACCAGCCCACCACGGCCTTCGAGCTGGGCCGCTTCCACTCCAGGGAGGCGGTGAAGGCGGCCGCGCGCTCCCTGGCCTTCCACTGCAGCCAC